TATATATATATATATATATATATAAAATAATACGTATAATATTATCCGCATCTCATTACGGCAGAGCGGATGTTTTCAATAAGTTACTGACGAATGTCACAGAGGAAAGTCAGCTACAGTAAAAATTCAATTCATTGATAAATAATGCGTATACGTTCCCTCGAGGCATACAGACACGTACACTCATCATAGGCTTTCAATATTATTATGCATATACAAGCTCGTAGAACAACGATTTGATAAACCGGAAACAGGCATTTCCGATTCAACCATTTCTACCAATGAATTAAAAGGAAGATTGTTTACCTTATAACCGATCACGTGACCCTTTGCTAAACGCATAGCGATTTTGGCACTGCAGGGAAACACACATCGGCGTGCAAGAGTTTCTAGGCTGATGTTGCGGCACCAAAATGGCGGAACCTCCCATCCCTAATGTTAGGATATTAGAAAGTTTGAAAATAAAGATAGGTAAGCGAATGCTCTATAGTGTTTCATATTGAATATGTAATATATTTTAAAACTCGTATATGTGATTTAGGTGACATTCAAGAGATCCACGTGAAGTTGAATGACGATCTTGCTCCTGCTACTGATAAACCCGATCCGATGCGATGCTGGCAGCTAGGGTAACACGCACCTCACTCATCAGATCAGACGGGTTCGGAGAGGTGGTCAAGCGATTGACATGTCCTTTAGACATTGTGTGGAATAGTGTTTTTGTAGGAAGGTCTGAATGTATATACTAGCCCCCATTGCTTTATTTAGATTATATTTACTTTCGAAAAACTGATAATATACTAGGCATGTTTAGCCTACTACTTCTACAACTAGGCCGAGGTAGGCCTAGCCTAAACTACTAGCCTAGGCCTAGCAGACCTAGGCCTAGGTAAGCATGTGGTGGTTGGGTACATATGGCCGTCGATCGGTGGGGGACAGGGGTACACGTCCCCCCACTTTTCAAAGTAGGGAACACATCCTCCCCGCTTTTCAAAGTAGGCTAGGGGGACATATATTATCAATTGTCTTCCCCCCCCCCACTTTTCACCAATCTTTTATGATTAAAACTCCACATTTCAAAGCGAATAGAAAGAATAACATGATTTACGCATGACTCATGAATTTTGTCTGTTCACTTTTCCAAGTGCGGTACATATTTCCGAACCAAAACAGAGTGAAAACACAATTGTTTGTACATTTCGTAAACCATCTCAGTAACCACTACATCGATTTTATGGATGCAACGGGAAAGGTTATCAGAGGCTAAATTTATTGTGAGAACAGTGTACTGTACATTGTTAAAATTGGAAGCATGTAAACTTTAATACAGTCGAGTCCGCCAAAGTCGACTGTTTAAGTCGAAAATTCGCGTCAGTCAAATTTTTTAAAACATCCCAATTCTTTCCTATGTATTACTGTGTAAATTGTTTGTTTAATTCGAATTTTTATAAGTTGAATTTCGGCTATATCAACGGAATTTCCGGACCAGATAGGCCGATTTTAAAGTAATTTCAACCACACATGTCGAAATCCCAAATTTTGTAGCGCACATGAGAAAATACACAGCCGTGGGAAAATACAAAGTTCAATCCTTGTTGTACGACAAATTAGCCAAGTCAAAACTAACATTTCGGACAGCGCAATGTGGAACTTGGCTCACGATCGTATGTCGTAAGTTGCATTCTACTCTCACAATACAGACACCCCTCCGGACCGGCTCCAATGTTCAGTTTTTCGTCCAGTTCATTTTATAGAACTTCAGAACTTTTGAGAGTTGTAACCCTCACTGTCGGCGTTTTTGACATTTTTTTTTTAACTGACAGCGATACAGCAGGCCTGCTCAGTGATGAAACTGCCTAATAAAATACTGCTGGTAGTATCAGAATTAATATATGTAAAATAAATCTTAACTTGGCTTACGTTTTTATTAAAGATGTTCTAGAGGAATAGAAAGCGACCGACAACCGATTTCCTTAATGTAAACAAAAAACAACTATGTAATTCGTCAAAAGTTTCCAAGGCTAGGCTAGGCCTATTAAAAATCAATAGCGCGACCGGAACTGTGTGACGAAACGACCCACTATTCCCCCGGGTGGTAATATATAAACGATCTCAATTTATTTAGCGTCAGATAAATAGCCGATCGAAATGCTTTATAGTAAAATATGTTATATATATTAAAATTGGTGCATACTAGCATTTATAATTATATTTTGTAATGTAAATTTCATGCAAAATACTATCAAAATATACCGCTCACCCCTTAATGGATCGGTCCAAAATTCCCTTGGCACACACGAGACGGTGAAGCCATCCATCCATGTGCTTTCGTCAATCGTTTTCAGCGCATGTCATGTGATAAAAAAGTTTTCAGTTGATTTTTTTTGTGATATCTTACGATAAGAAACGCATACATAATTTGTAAATATTTAACCAAACGTCGTTGAAATTATTTGATGGCTGCGTAAACCTGGGTCGTTGTGAAGTGATATTTTGTGGCTAAAATTCAAGAACTTTTGATAGTTTGCTGGCGCTAGATAAACGGCGCCCGGTTGTCATATCGTTTAGTCACGTCATTAAAAAAGCCAGTAACTATTCAGGCGGCGGTTGGGTGGTTATCTTGTATTTACAATATCTCGAGCGCGAGTTTGGTAACGAGTGGGAGAAGTGATTTGGCCATGTTTTTGAGTCGAATTTGCAGTCAAAGCTATAATTATCTTCGAGATTCGTAATATACAAACTATTATAAGTTAAAACAGAGTCAACAAAAAATCATAATTTAGGTGTTCTTTTCGACAAGGTTATAACAGCAAAATTTAGCCGTCGAGTATGAGGGTTACTGAGGCAACAGAATACCTTTACTACAGCATTTGCCGTCGGTGCCGTTGGGAAATTTGATCCCTGATGGATACCATTGATGTGGCTACAGTGTAGGCCTATAGAACAGCAGTAGAGCATAGAACTGCAAGTGGTCTGGCTAGTGTGTGGAGGGATGGTAAACAAACCTATATTAAATGGAGTTTGTAAGTGTAAAAAAAAAAAAAAAAATCGGGTTGGTGGCCTTTTATTTTATTTTATTTTACATGGCCTATTTATGATTACCAGGATAATTTTAAAAACTTTATGATGAATATTTCAGTGGCAGATTCAAAATGTAGTATGAAAATAAAAGTTAATTGCATTCCTTAAAATCAGTTAGAAACAACTTATAAAAAAAGGCTGTAGGCGCCAGTGCTTCCGGGGGCTGGGCCCTGGGCAGCCCTCTGGCCCCCAACCAAGGCTTGCTTATTTGGCATTTCGTCTTCCCCCCCCATTTCGGCCCCCCCCCCCAATTTCAACCATGGATCGACACCCTTGAGGGTATGTTTACAGTACTTGCTTATTCGGCCAGGTAGGCTCTGGTTTACCACATGGAGATCCTTTTGCAATAATTAATATTAAATAGCTAGGCCTACTATTTCCCCTGAAAGACAATGAATTGTATGCCTACTTTACATGTACCACCAGGCCTGGGCTAGGACACTAGGCAAGGCCATTAACAGGGAAGAGGCAAACTGTCTTAAGATAATTGTGGTGTTGAAATGCTAAATTCTCACGATTTAGTTTTCCATGGTTAACATAAAAAAAATTTTTGTGTAAAAACTCCTGCAAATTTATGCAAATAAATCCAAATGTCATCATATAAATTAACCAAAATGTTCTTAATAAATCCATCATTCATGTATAAAATTTCATAGAAAGTTCTTTCCTGATAACTTGTAATTTAAATAAAGTAATTTATAAAGGACCAATCAATATCAGTAAACCAAAGTAAAAATCAAAGGTGCTATATGCATGTTTAGATGTTAAAAAGGTGTGTTTTTTTGTTTTGTATTCTTGCTGCCTGTGATGATATCTGTAATACAACCTTCATAAATTTGAAACATTGAATTGTGCATTGTAGACATAAAATTTTAATGCCATAAAGGAGGAAAACACATTGAAATTTAAAATTACATTAATTATATACTGTAACTGTGAATCAGTCTCTAAAGATTTACTTCAGACATTTTAAAATGAAAATTATTACAATTGCTGGCAGAACAAAATGTAAATAATTAATGGTGTTATCAATGTCCATCAAGGCAGTTTAAAAATATTTGTTCATTTTTTTTTATTTTTTTTTTATAAAACCTCCCAATTTTTTTCCTTTGGAGTTGAAAGGAATATAATTGCAATTGTTAAGCTGTCAATGCAATATTGCTTATGTTTTTTACAATGATAAAATCAAGAGTAGGAGCCTTAGACAAGACATTTTATATACCTTGTTTAGCGAACCCGCAGACGACAAATATTGATGATTTCAAATCAAAATAAAATTTTATTTTTGACCAATTAGCGCACTCTACTGCCTGAGGGCAGTAGACACAAAACCCATTTACAATTCACAATCACCAAAACATGCAAAAAAACCAACAATTTACAGTCATGTGTGGAAGCTCACCGATAGTAGTTGATAAGGAATCAATATCGCAAATTGTTACCCGTTGCGATTGGGTGCTACAATCTTTATTTCTTCCGATTACCACTGAATCTGATTGCTACGAACCACCACAAATTCCACAGGCACTGATTGGCTGAGTTCAGTCAACATACAGTAGGTCTAGCCACCGGAGGGCCAGACCCTTGAACAGTTTGACCTCCCATTCTAATGTAAAGTTTTTGTGTTAGTCAGAATGCACTCGTTGAATTTTCAAATGGGAGTAATTAGTTTTGGTTTTCCACTGTTTACATCGCAACAGAGTGTAGTCTGAATAGGGTATTAGTTTATTATATAGGTTAAAAAAAACTGTAATTTTAAACTGTGAAAAAGCTAAAAGGTACTGTACTGTACACAAGAACTATTCAATACAGAGAGGCTTGCAGTAAATTCGTTTTTGCAATAATTTATTTATTTATTTATTCTCAATATTTTACCATGGTGGCCCAATCAGTCAAAGAGACTGGTCTCCCCTGGGGCCCTGGGTACAAAATATTTTTAGACAACAAAAGCTTAATTAACAATTTACACATGTACGTACATACAATAAAAGATAATTAATCTTACACTAATGATGCCTTAAAGTTGCTTTTAAAAACATTTAAATTACTTGATGACTTTGTTACATCATTTAAAGTGTTGAACAGATTTGCACCTTGCCATTGATTTTGAATTAGCAGATGCTCTGGAGAAGCACAATAATAATACACAGATCAATTTTGAAGCGAAAAGGTTTAGAGTCAAGGTCATAGAAAGTGAAAAAAAAAATAACATTTACAGAGTGGCCTGGGTACTCCAATTCAGGCCTTCTGGCTGTTGTAGGAATGATTTTAATTATTGAAACAAATTGTGAATTACATTCAACAGAAAAGACAGACTAATGACAAGTTAGTGAATGACTTAATGCTGAAGGAATCTCAATGAAAAGCTATCAAAGCAAAAAGAATGAATT